TATGTGGGATCCGAACCCTCGGCGGGAGCGCCGCCGCGCTTCCCAAGCGGCGCACTGTAGCAGTGAGCCACCAGGCTGGCCCCGTTTTCCTTGGGAATCTTAACAGCAGTTTTGGGGTTGGTCTTTGGCCCCTCAAATGACAGCTCAGATGCAAGAGAACGAGACTACTGTGGACGGATGCAAGAGCCACCCTAGCTTAGAAACAATGTCCAAAACAGAAACCACTACCCTCATGACAGCTTCTAGGTCTATGTAAAGAACGTGAACCTTTATTCACAAGCATAATGAATCTAAACCCACTATTTTACTTCTAAAAATGGTACTAGCAAGAAACAGAAATGAATTTGGACGAATCCATGAATAGCATGGCTAGAAATAGCTTTCCGGAATTCATAGGTAGCCTATAAAGTTGGCTTCTTAGAGAAAAACAATTTCTGCTCAATGTTATTTGTATTATCTTTAACGCTGCTATTAGAAATAAACTGTTAAGAGGCACAGATAAATGCTCTACCCCGAGTTCTGGATAGTTTTTTTGAGAGCTAGGATCAGAGCAGAGACTGCATTCCCTCAGGAGATACTCCCAACCCCCCTTGCCTCTTCAGGTTTCCGTATAGCTAAGGATTTCTCAATGCCCATATTTTACCAAAGCATACAATTAACGTTAATTCTTGAACTATAAATAACAGTCTACCAAGCTGTCAGAAATTATCCATCCCACAAAAGAAGACAGAGGTAACTTGTGGCAGGTGTCCCTTAAGTAATAATTTGTTTCATGACCTTATTAACACTAATACTTCTCAATTTTAAAAGAGGAATTTATACCAATTAAGCCCAGAGTTAACAAGATGGACACAGGTCAGAGGAGAAATATTTGAGAAGTAGCTTGAGGATGCTCTCACACATCCTAAATATCAACAAATCTACACGGGAGTACTAGATCATAATGGTGAGATTTTAAAGACTTGCCTAAAAATGTCAAGTCTAACTCTAAGAAATAAACATGCTTCTGTGATATGTGTTTCTACTTTATCTTGATTATACTGATGGCAACTGTATCCAAATGTGCCAATTCTGTTAATGATACTTAAATGATGTTGACATATGAGTAAGTTTAGGAAAATGACGAAAGTGCATGTGGTGAAGTATTTTGCCATATCTGCAACCCTTAGGTATATAGTTTAAGTAACTTAAGGAAAGCCAATGAAAACACTAGTTAAAATGACAGCAAAAAGTTTAAATTTTTATTTTTCTTTACCAGTAATTATGAAACAGCAGTGATATGGAGCAAATCAATAGATTTGCAACAATATACTCAGTTGTAGTTAAACTCACATGTAATTGTGTGGATTGCAGAGTATTAAGAAGTTGATACATCCTATGCATTAAGAAACTGAAATGGAACACTAGTTATAGTCTTAAGCTGATTTCAACTTCGTACTTAACAACTACACAAGATTCACCTGAGACGAGCAAAAGATGAACCTACTCTAGTAAACTGGTTTATGAGAGTGGACATTCTTAAATATCTGAAATTTGAGCAGAATCTATGCATACATCTATGCATTGCTGCCACCCAGAAAGCAAACAGGAGGTTTCCACTCAAGAGGCCACCCTCTCTCCCTCACCCTCAACTAGGCTCAGCATCTTTCTACTTCAGTTTTTAAAGCCTTAACAGATAGGCTTATGTACCCCTTGCAGGAGCCTAGAAGATTCTTATCTGAAATTACCCCACGAAACAAGATTTAATGACATTGATATTATGGGACTCCTAATGAAATGGTCATTTGATTAACAGGAATTTCATAGAGAGGAAGTAGCAAGGAAGAAACGATTTTAAAGAATATTTAGTAGTTTTGAGAATGAGTCTCTACAGTAAAAGTGCCCTCTAAGTGCCCAACACAGTTAACAAAGGTACAGAAAATCATAAAATTTCAGAACATAAGGATAAAGAGAAAGAAAAGCTTCTACAGAGAACAAGTCATTATAAAAGGAGAGGAAAAACATTTTCAGATACGAGAAATTAAAGAATAAAAAATCTGTTTCACATATACTCTTTTCCCAGAAAGCTACTGCAGTATATGCTCCACCACCATGAAGCAGTAAACCAAGAAGGAGGAAGACATAGAGCCAGGATCAATCAAAGGACAGCAGCAAAGGAAATTCCCGGGGAGACACCACAGCTGCATAGGAGAACCAGCACACAATGGGTGTGGCAGAAGGCAGGTCTCCAAGGAAAGAATGGAACTGAGAACGTTACCTCATCTGTTTGACCATTTTGAGAGGAATTTTAGAGTTCCTTCAGAAAGTCTGTAGCTGTGTTAGTGAGTGGGTATTTGCAATACATACCCAAGAAAGGCCTAGAATCTAGAACATAACATAATAATAATAAAATATAATATTAATAAGAAAAGATGAATAACTCAATAGAAAATATGGCAAATGACTTAAATAGGCACTTCACAAAAGAGGAAATCCAAATGGTCAATAGGCATATAAAATATAAAATATGCTTATCCTCATTAATAATCAAGGAATTACAAATTAAAACTATAATAAGATACCATTAAAAAAGTGACAGACAGAACTATCAAAACTAAGTGTTTATGAAGACGTAAAACACAGGAATTCTCATATACCACTGGCTGGAGTGTAAAATGGTAGCACCCCATGGAAAACAGTTTGGGGTGATACACGTCACCTAGCAATTCCAGTATCAGGTAGGCACCCCAGAGAAAGGTATGTACATGTGCCTGCTTAATACTGAAATTATACATTTATGCTTGTGGGATAATTTAACTGTTGAATGTATTTCTAAACGTAAGTAACACATGGATAAGATATTGGCTCTTCAATTTACTCTTGCGCCTAGCACTGTGAATCATATTACCTATTCAAGAAATATTTATGGAACCAAACTGAATTAAAAAAGAATAATAAAGCAATGGAAAATTCAGCAAAAAACATTCTTTAAAAAGAGGAAGAAAAGTACATCGATCTGTGAAAAATGTTTAACCACACTTGTGATTAAAGAGATTAAAATAAAATAATGATGAAATAACATTCTCACTATAGAAAGAGAATTATTTTGCAGCTCAAAGCTGCAAAAGTGAGAAAGATAGATCCTCCCATAGGTCATTTGTGGAAGTATAAAATGATATACAGATGCATAAATCATAAGTTTCTGGAAAGCAATTTGGCAGCCTGTGTTGAATCTTGAAAATGTAGATACCCTCTGACAGTAAAAACTAATAAAAATTCCTGTTTTAAAACTATACCAAAAATATAATTTAAAAATTTGAGATAAGATTTATTTACAAAGTGTTCATTAATTATGAATTAATATAAAACACTGGAATAATCAAAATGAGTAATAATGGGATAATGGTTAAATATATTTTAGGACAATGTAGGCTAGATAGATATTAAAACATGAGATTTTCAAAGAATTGATGATACTACAGAAAAATGCTGATAATCTAAATGTTAAGTAAAAATGGCAGAATATAGGACTGTATAAAATAAAGAATGATCTCAATTCTATTAAAAATATATGTGTGTATATGTAATATATACATACATACATATATACACACGGAACGCAACAATGGTTATAGTAAAATAGACTGCAAATATAGTTAATGTTGAAAGAAGGGACTCTTACTGTTGTAGTTCTTACCAAGGCTTGTTAAAGTAAACATTCTCTGCTTTAATACTTAAAAAGAATCATAATAAATATCTCCATTTGACACTTACCAGATCAATATTTTGCATTATATCCTGAAATGAAGGATGAGTTCGAAACTGTTCAAAGAGATCTCGTTTGTAAAGCAGTGCATACACCAAGTTTGGGTTGTGGTGAAGAGAATTTGTCAGGCAGGAATTGATGATCTCTAACATCATTCGAATCACTTCTTCGATGACATTTAAGTCTTGTGCCTTACAAAAAAAAAAGCAAACCCCAACACAAAGTCAGTGTTTTTCTCCTTGTAATAGAATTAGTCAAAATAATAGTAATTGATTCAAAGTTATAACAGCATTGGAAAGAACAAGCAGAAAAGCTCTTGAAGATTATTTCTGTCAAGAATCTTTAAAATAAGGTTTATCAGTTACTACACGATTTGAGTTAAAATCTTTTGAACTTCGTATGGTGATAATTAGGAATTTCACATAATAAACTATAGACTCACCAGTCTAGAGGGAAATTTGTTGTTTCGTCAGCTCTTATATGTATTCTCATCACTTTACCCCCTAAATCATTAGACTTCCACAATTTAAAGTAGCGGTAGGATCTTACCAATTCTGAGAAAAATGCCTAATTCAGAAAATGACCCTGGTTCTCTACACTGTCATTTCATTTACAGATAAATAGCTTATGGTTTTGTTAGCATTTCCTCAGAGTGACAGTGTTTGAGGATCTGAATGTAAAATAGTTATAAGACAGGAAAACTCAAAGAAAGCAATCAGCAAACCTCTTGGAAGAAAGCAACAGAACAAAAATATAGGTTTATACAATAGACTTCCCTTCTCTTGAGTTTTCTATAATATGTTTGACAGCTGAAGCACAAATTATAACTCTCATGTGGTTCTCAGGGTATATAAAAGAATACTGAAGACAACTATATCGTAAATAAAGGAACATAAAGGGATTTAAAGGAAAAGTTTCTACACTTACACTGGCAACATGTCAACACAACCAGACTGTGATAAGTTATGTATGTATAATATGACATCTAAAGCAAACCTACACAAAGAGATACACACAAAAATACTATAGATAATCAAGTTGTATTTCTAAAAAGTTTGTATGTGCAGGAAGGTGGGAACAAAAGACAGGAAAATGAAAAACAGGGAACAAACAGAAAACAGAAAGTAAACTGGTGGATTTAAGCCTAACTTATCAATAACTACATTAATTGCAAACATTTCAAATATAGTAATTAAAATCAAAAGACTGGCAGAGAGAATAAAAATCACATGACACAACTATATGCTATATACAAGAAGCTTCAAATATAACTCACTTCAAATATAGTTAGGTTGAAAGTAAAAAGATGGAAAAATATATACCCCTGTAAACATAAATCAAAAGAATGCAGGAATGGCTATATTAGTACCAGATAAAGTTTACTTCAGAGACTGTATGGCGGCAAAGTAAAAAATATTTATTATTTGGCTCTTTACAGAAAAAGTTTAACACCCCAGCTTAAGAGACAAAATGGTGTGCCTATTTCCATACAATTTACCTCCACCTCTATTTTCTTAAACACAATGTTTAACATTCAATCAAAATTTATGAGGTACCCAAAAAACACGTAAAAACAACCCATGTCCAAGAGACAAAGTAATCAGCAGAATCTGACTCAAGTGATATATGATATTGAAAATTTCAAAAAGGAAATTGAAAAGAAATATGATCTACAAAACCTACTATAACTATGCATGTTTAAGTTGATGGGGAATTTCAACAGAGTGGAAAACTATAAGTGACAAATCACAAAATGCTAGAATTTTTTAAAAATGTGATAATAGGGGCCGGCCCGTGGCTCACTCGGCAGAGTGCGGTGCTGATAACACCAAGGCCATGGGTTCGGATCCCATATAGGGATGGCTGGTTTGCTCGCTGGCTGAGAGTGGTGCTGACAACACCAAGTCAAGGGTTAAGATCCCCTTACCGGTCATCTTTAAAAAAAAAGTGATAATAGCAGTGAAAAATGCCTTAGTTGGGTTCAACAGTAGACTTGACAGAGCTGAGGGAAGAATTATAAACTTGAAGATAAGTCAGTAGAAATTGCACAAGTAAATGTACAAAGAGAAAAAAGAGTGAGAAGAACGAGCAGAACAGAATTCAACGAGCGGTAAAACAACACGATATACATTAATGTACATGTCATCGACTCCCAGAAGGCGAAAAGAGAAAGAACGGGGCAAAAGAAATACTTGAGGAGACAATGGCTGATGAGCATCTCCTAAAAATAATGAAAGAATCAAATAGGTACAAGCACCTCAGAGAATTCCCCCAAAGCTCCCTTGGCCACGCCCCGTCAGAACAAAAGAAACAAAACACTTAAATACATCATATTCAAATTACTGAAAGCCAAAGACAGAGAAAATCAAAGGAAAAAATACATTAAATACAGAGGCACAAAGATAAGAATAAGAGCAGACTTTTCAAGAGAAACTACTCAATCCAATCTAAATGTAGAGTGTCATTAAAGCGCTGAAATAAGAAAAGAGTCAACTAAGAAATCCATAACCAGCAGAAAATATCTCCCATATATGAAGGTAAAATAAAGACTTTTTCAGATCAAAATAAGCTGAGATAATTTATTACCTGCATACCTGAACTATACAAAGTATTAAAGGAATTTTTTCAGGTAGAAGGAATATAGAACCATACAGAAATGTAGATGTACACAAGGAAAGAAAGGTATTTTTCTTATTTTTAATAATTCTAAAAGAGAACTGATTTATAAAGCAATATATATATATATATATAGTAGAAATGCACTATAGGTTTATAACATATGTAAAATATATCACAATGTTCTTCTACCGAAGGGCATCCAATTAATACTCAGTTTCCTTGTTTGTATGGACAGGCTGACGAGTGTCCCAGTACATCTGTGATACAGGGGCACCTTTACTTCTCTGGGACAGATTCCAGGAGAGGGACTGCTGAAACACTAATAGACATGGCTAGGTTGTTATTTAAAGAGTGACGACAACACGTCTGTCCTGGCCACGTAGGGAAACCCTTTCCCTCATTTTCTCACCAATAACAGGTATAATGTTTCTTTTTAAAATTTGCTGCCTGAAAGATATGAACCTTGTTAATACCTTAATAATCATTTTCCTGAATAGTAGGCAAGTTTCAGCATTTTTACATATGCTGCCATTTGGATTTATCTGCACTCAGGTGAAGCTGTTTCTTCATATTCTTTACCTACTTTTTTATTTATTTTTGTCCTTTTTGAGACCGGCCGCACCGCGCTCAGCCAGTGAGCGCACCGGTCATCCCTATACAGGATCCGAACCCGCGGCGGGAGTGCCGCTGCGCTCCCAGCGCCGCACTCTCCCAAGTGTGCCACGGGCTCGGCCCTCTTTACCTATTTTTTAGAATGACTCGTCTCTATCAATTTTTAAGAGTTCTTTGAATAGTGTAACTCTTCACTCTCAGAATTGCCCATTTTGTCTCAGTTGTCACACTGATTATTCATATTATTCTCTTAGGGTTTTAAAAATCTGTGTTTTTAATTATGTCCCCCCTCTCATTCCTAACATTCCTAATGTTTATTTCTGCTTTCTCTGCACCACCACCCCCCCCCCCCCCCCCCCC